ATTCATATTTTTTTGGTGTGCTTTTGCTACATAACAAGAAAGTTATTTCTCCTGGTTAATTTTTGCTTCCTAATGAGGATAAACTCAACAAATAGAAAATAGAGAACCAGCAGATGAGATGTGAAATAAGGGTTCGTTTAAAAAGAGACCAATCACTTTAGCCTCAGATTTGTCCCTTTCTCTGCCACTGCTACCAGATTAGTGTAGGATTTGTGGACTTATGGCCATTAATGAGAAAGAAGAGAAGGGATGAGAAGAACAGAAGGGAAAAAATATTATGGACCCTGAAATTCACTCTCAACAAGTGAATAGATTTTATTTAGTTCTTGTCTTGGTCTAGATTAGCAGTGTTGAGGGAAGAAAGTACACATATTTTGACTATAGCTCCTTTCAAAATTTTTGTTTTTTCAATGATTTATTTTTTTGGTAAACGAACTGGGGAGTAGACCAGAGGTTCAGGGGGTGAGAGAATTCACCAGAGGCAGAGTGGGGATCTAACTGAGAGTTAACCCCTAGGCCATCAGGGAGGCCCAACAGATAAATTTTTGAAAGATGGGCCTCCCTGGTGGCCTAGGAGTTAAATTTCAGTGCTATCATTCCTATGGCCTGAGTTCGATCCAGGGTCAGGAAGCTAACCACATATGGCGTAGCAGACCTCTTCTTTCTCGCCCACTGCTCCCCTTAGCAATATATTTTAGTAGATCCAACTTTTCTGTTCCCCACTCTGTCTCTGGTGAGTCCTCTCACTCCCTGCACCTCTGGCCCACTCTCCAGTTCTACAAAATAAATAAATGAATATTAAAAAAAAAATTTCCCTGCAATGTTTGAGATGTCAAGAGAAAAAAGGTAGGGTTTATGTAAGTCATTCGTGGAGATTTAAAGTGGAATTCTCTTTGGTTTAGAAAGATACTTCAGTGGGCCCATGGCAGGATGCCATGGAGTGGAATTAAAATTGTGTCACATAATAAAGTATAGTGGAATCCCATTATACTTCTATTCAACTTTTTTTGTCTGCCACTCTGCGTGGTTGGTCCATGAGGTAAGTAAAGAATGCTGTCAAGCCTGAAAATCTGCATTCACAACAATTAACTCAAGGGATAATTGTGTGACTCATTTAATAACTTCCCCATATTGACCATGAACTGGTACACTTTGTTGAAGTGGTTGAGAATTTTCGTGACAATGACTTGGTTAGCATCCTCTGTGAAGAAACTGAAAAAACTGAGGGTAATAGAGTGACTTTCATTAAAAAAGACATATCTTACACTTTATGAAATGGGGAATTTAAGTGGTTTTCAAGAGGATTGACTTTAGAATTTAATCCTAAGATTTTAGAATTTTCAGTTTTCTCTTAGCAGTCAGAAAGAGCAGTTTGAAAATTTGAAGAGTTGGCTCCATTAGCTGCAAAAGAAAGGTAATCCATAAAGATTCCTTCCTTGGGGTGTGAGCAATGGTCTTTAGGAACAGTCTGATACTCAGTTTTAAGCTCTTTCCTGTTTTGTAAATCCTCACCATTGACTGCTGTACCTACAGCCTTGATTATTTCATGCCTTGCAGAACGGAGAGAGGGGGCTGCCTTCATTAACGAGATAATACATCTGAAATACTTAGTACAAGAGGTTGCATCAGAGCATAAGCACTACATAAATGTTAACTGATATTATGTTGGGAATACAGAAAACTGCCCAGCATGGCGATTAAAAGAGGAAATGGTTGGAGATGATCAAGAAGCTGGGGGAAATTTGGAATCAGAGCTGACAAATGAGACTAAGGACATTTAAATTCTCATCTTCACTTCCTCTCACCCTCAATTTCTCTTCCCTCAAATGCAGAGGAACATCAGGGCACATGCTTGGATTCAGTTACACGCGTAGTTACTGTGCATAGATATTAAAGGTAAAGGAGGGGCCTTAGAAAGTTAAAATCGTGTAACAATGTGGAACCTAGACAATTAGCTTTTAAAACTTACTCAAAAAGGGCCTCCCCAATGGCGCAGTGGTTGAGCGCTGGGTTGCGAAGCTGCCCATAGCCTCTGCTGCGCCGGTTCGATCCCCAGCCACCTGGCGAGGGTCCCACATAGTGCAGACCTCTCCTGCCGCCCGATGCTCCCCTCAGCAGTGTACTTCATTGGTCTGCCTGTTCTCTGTCTCTGGTGAATTCTCTCACCCTCCCGCGCTTCTGACTGTGTCCAGTGCTTGTATAAATAAATAAATAAATTAAAAAAAAAAAAAAAAAAACTTACTGAAAAAGACTCTGGGCAGTAGGTGTGGAAGAATAGTGGGAAGGAGAAGAGTTTCCTTCCAAATCCCTAGCTTAAGAAAATTGTGTGCTTTTATTTGGCTATTAACACTTTTTTTATCCACCTGATATCAGTTACTAACATTAGTTAATCTTATACTGACGAGGTTGCAAAATTCTACACGCTCTGTTCAGGACAGAATTTCTCAATGACAAGGGTTACTGAACTGGTCTGCATTCTACCCTTGTAAATATCTGTATTTTGCAATAAGTTGTCTGAGCAAAACACAAATTTGTTTCTGTCTTGCATTGTTTACTTCCCAAAACCTTAAATTATTTTCTTTCTATAATCTTTCCCCTACTCCAAAATACCTAACCCAGGCACTTCATAGGTTGTGTCTTAACACCTTGCACAACCAAGGAGGCCCAGGTATGTTTCTTTATTACGTGTTCTTTTATATTTCTCACTAACATATGTTACTACTGTCAAGACAACCTTAAGGATTGTATCATTTGTTTTCTCATAGAATTGGGCACAAAATAGGAATGCAACACATATATCTTGAATTAACTAAATTATGTAGGTGATACACCTAACTAGGATAGTGGGTCACTTATTAGCTTTTCAGTTTATGAAAACTGTGTTAATTGGGTGATGGGCCTTTTTTTTTTTTTTAAAGATTTATTTAATTATACAAGCACTGGGTACAGTCAGAAGTATGGGAGGGTGAGAGAATTCACCAGAGCCAGAGCAGAGAGCAGAACAGGCAGACCAACGAAATACACAGCTGAGGGGAGCAGCGGGCGGCAGGAGAAGTCTGCGCGCCATGTGGGACCCTTGCCGGTGGCCGGGGATCAAAACGGCACTGCAGAGGCTGAGGGCAGCTTCACAACCCAGCGCTCAACCACTGCGCCACCAAGGAGGCCCCTCATGGGCCTTTTTAATAATACTATTTTTCCTTATGCCTGACTGCATTAAGTTTTGCATAGTGATGAACTTTGCTTAAACATTTTTATTAATTGCTCATATTCGTAGCTCACAAAATGGTTTTACAAATGGTAATCAGCAGAACAATAAAAACAAAACCTCAGTTCTTCTATAGTTAGCCAGTGTGTAGACTTTATTACATAGGCACGTATTTTTTTTTTTTTAACACAGACTGGTTTTACATAAAATTAATCACAATAGTAAAAAAAGTGACATCAAATGAGGGTGGATGATGACAGAAAATACAAGCCTTGGATCAGCTGAATCATTCCTTGGATCTGGCGTCCATCTATCCCTAAGAATTAAAATTCTCTATAGACATTTTAAAAGTGGAGGGTGAGGAGTGGTTGTTCTTCATCATTCCCTGACTACAACAGTTTCTGTTTAATTTCTTGAATATAGCAAAGTTTTCTCCAGATTCTTTTGGCAGGAGGACACAAAAATTAATTAAATGTTGACTTAGGGTCACCATTCAATATTCTTCCATTCTCCCACTGCCTTTCTTCCAAACCCTCAAACCATTTGGTCCAACAGGTTACTAATAGGATTTAACTGCCTATCTGTTTTCCCACAACGGGTCCCTTTGGATAGCATATGGGGTCGCTGATCCTGAAGCACGAGTCCAGACAAAGGTGCTTAAGGCTCCAGTCACAGTGTGACTTTAAAAATGTTCACAACCAGTTTGGAGGGTTTGATCCGAAGCAGAGCATGGGACTGAACAGGAAGAGGTTCTGGAATTCTTTGCTCTGTCTGGTTGGAACTGATCCATTTCATTTGACCAACTCTAACTACAACCAGAAAAGAAACTAAAATTACACTAACGTATACCACAAAGGAGATGCTATTTTGTAGTTTGTACATGTTTAATTTTTTTTTTTTAATTCATTTCATGCTGCTAAGACACAGTGAGGATAGGGAAGTCCAGCCCTTTCTTGCATCTCATTTTGCCATAACTGACAAACAGTTCCAGCATGTTTACTGAGTGTTTCCCCCTCACCCACTCAATTTCTGCAGTCCTTTGTATGAAAGGACACATCTATAAATCAGTGATCATCCTAATATGGCCTCAGTACCAGGGAGGGTTAGACCTACTTCTGCTTCAAGTAGCATTCAAATCCTAACATTCCTTTTGGGGACTCACAGCCACTGTTTAGCTGTGCGATGCTGGAGAACATTCCTGAGCACTGGTTATACTAAACTTTACTGTTCTTTTTAGCTTCCATTTTAATCTATGCTTGAAAGCAACTACAAAAAAGAGGATTGCTGAGTTTTTCTGTGTTACTGTTGTCTGGAAGATGATAAAGGGTAGAGATGATACCAGAAAAGAGGGACCAGCTTTTCCTAATCTTGAAAATTTATATTATCTTGGTTTGTAAGCCTATGTGAAGAGTCCCATTGACATGAAGAATCAGTGATAGTGGTACCAAAGAATATTTTGGGAAATAACCAATAAAAGTGGAGTTGGAAAGGCCCAGAAGGAAGCTAGTCCATTTTCCTCACTTGTTCAGTGGAGTCACTGAAGGCCAGTAGGGAACAGCCAGTCACTTAATAAACGTGGAGATTGTCCCTATGACTGTGTCCCTTTCAAGGATGCATAAAAATCCCAGTTTTCATGGCCTTCCCTCCATGACTACTCAGTGTCCTTGTGTTTAACCTTTGTTCCCTTTAGGGAAGCTGGCTGCTAGCACAGCACTTTGACCAGATTCTTGATAAATACTTGCTGAATCCTATGAATTGTATTGATTATGCCTGCTATGTAATCTTTTATTTTCCTAGAGCTCCTTACTTTTAACTTTAAGGGATGTTCTCTAATTCAAGTAGTTTGAGGTTTGGTGGTCAATACTGTATTTGTCATCTCTTTATATTTTGTTTTCATATTGAAATTGTTTTTGAATCTATTTTTTGTATTACATATAATTATTATTTGCTTCTCTCAAGCACTACCAAACACATTACTATGGATAGTTTCCACCTTCATAGGTCTATAATTTCAAGTCCAGAGTTACATTTATCTTTTCAATTCTTAAAACAAAAACTTAGGACCAGACACTTAATCTGATTTGCTAAGGCACACTGGAAAATAGCAAAGATTCCACCCTCCTGCTTTAGTTAATGCATGGCAAAATATTACCAACACACACATTCTGTTTTACATTTATGTCTGCCTTATATATGTCATTCACTTCTAGTTCTTTAAATACACAAATATGCATCACAATATCCAAAGCGGGTTTCATTTACAAAGAGTAAAATTAAGAAATAGTGATTTGTAGGGAATTGGCACTTGAGACATTGGAAATATTTAGAAAAATTCTTTAGAACTTGGCAAGAATGCCATGACTAATTTTATACAAAGAGCCGTCATGGTTTGGATGGGTTTGGTAGTGTGGTGTTAGAGATAACTCATTTACTAGATGATATTTTTGGTAAATTTAATTTTTGAGGTCAGTTTTGTCTGAATATCCTGTTAAATGGCATTCTAGACATGACCTAAGCTCTGGATATGCTAGAATTAACTTACCATTATCATTCACAGAAATGTTAAAGTTACCGACAGAGAATTTCTATAAGTAGCTTAGATAGTGGCGTTTCCTACGCCAATCAATTTCATATTCTCAAGGCTCTTAGGAAACATTTCAGATCATCGTCTGCTTTCCCATTGCAAAACTTATTATGAGACACAAATCAGATCAGAAACTTTGATCTTACATCATGAGGTTTGGCCTTACTCTGACCATGGTGACAAAATAAGTAACAGTGACAATGGTCAGTGGCTAAGGTGGGGGACACAAAGACCTCGCTCAATTAGCATGGCTGTGCCTTCTATCACACACTTTCTTCTCCTGCTCATCATTCCAATAGGTAAGCCTCCAGCTTGCAGATCTGTTTGACTTGCAGGATCAAAACTGAATCAATAATCTACTGTGGACAGTATCTGTGCTACTCTCTCTTTGGGCACAAATATGTTTTTCAATATGACTAAGGTACATTGTAGCTCAAATTCAGCTGCATTTTAAATGCTTACGTGATGACAATTAGTCATTAACTGACAGTGGAAACAGGAATAAAAGGCAAGAAAAATTATTTTAAGTCCTCCAGAAAGTAAAAGTACTCTAGCTTGCTGCCTTGCTGGCTTTAATACTTGATGACAACTTAGGGTTTAAGTAGTCCTAAGGTATTAAGGTCAGTATTCTTTTAGTGAAAATTTGATATACACCAAATTATTTCCCTTTATTTTATTAATGTTTGCCCTATAAACAAGGGTTTAAGGTGACTGAAACCTGTGTATTCTGAGTTTTGGGCTATGTAATAAAAATAAAAAACAAGATATATTCCTTGCCTTCAGAGAAATATTTCTTGGAAATGTGAAGTTCTAGGAGAAATAAACTGCCTTTACCCACTATATTTGTATAGGAATAACTCTTATTTCAAATAAGAAATACTTTAAAATGAAAAAATTCTCAAAATGTGAAGTCCTGCCAATAATGCAGAAAGTAAGACAGGTGTGGAAGACCAAATAGGAAAACAAATAAACAAACACCTGCCCAGATAATGTTTAATGTAAGTGAAACACAAAATTTTGATGTGAAATCACTAGTACTATATTTGCAAGGATGGCAAAAGGTCTCAATGGCCTCCCATCCCTCCCAATACTGCATATTCTCTGGCTTGGCAGACGTTTCCTACCCTCTTTTGCTATAAAGTCACACAGCAAGCCACTCGAATCAAAAGAAAGCACAGCTCTTGATACCATGTGACATCTGATTGTATTCTAAGAGTAATACCATGTGGTGGTAAAACTAATTCACTTTTAATATTTGAACATTATTGATAATATAATGTTTAAATATTAAACATTAAAAAGGTAATTTGTCCAACTGTATTTCCTATGTAGGTTATTAGCAGAAAATGTAGGTCTATAATATATATATAGTATTTTATCCCTCGAGCCCCTAAATGCTAACATTAACCAGTTTCCTAAGAAGAAAAAGCAAATTTGAAGAAAACAAGGTGACAGGTTTTTTGAGATTAATAATGTGCTTAGTGAATGTAGACAGCATAGAAAGGATTTTCTGAGCTCTTGATAAAAAAAAAGCACAAAGGCTATGAGAATTAACCAATGGGGAAAAGGTCCAATAAGCAATACACATGTGATGCTAAGCAGGGAAGGCAGAGATCCTGAGAGAGTGCTAACCTTGGGATGACCTTCACCTTGCCAACTCTTCACCCCATCTTGATGTTTCTATGAGGACCTCTCATGTGACTTGAGAGCAACAGGGAAGGAATACATCTTGGAGTCCTCACTTGACACAGTCCTCTGGGGGCCACATTCTATTTCAAAGAGCATGAAAAGTCACTTGTCAAAAAGACAACAAGTTTGAGAGTCCTATCACTACTGAGATTAACCTGATATATAGAAATGATCTTGGTAGTCATCAGCCCAAATCCAACGTAAGAGTTCCTTTTATAGCCTCTGGGATAAATAGTTATTTTAACCTTTGGGCATCTGCAGGAGCATGAAGTTTTATGAAGAGTCCACTCTTCTTTAGAACAATTTTTATTCTAAAACTATTTCTTATATTGAAGCAAACATCTATCATCCATAAAGTTCTTCTTTATTCCTATTTTGGCCCTTTGAAGCTATGTGGAAGAAGTCTAATTCCTTTTCCTTTTTAGAACCCAACAGAAATTTAAAGGCAATTATTACATCTTTCCCTCCTTCTCTGAACTCTCCTTTCAGCTATACCTTCTATTCTTCAGGGGAACTACTTCCCTGTTCCTTATATAATCAGATCCTTCAAACCCTAGTTACCTGCCTCTGGACTTAATCAGTTTTTTAATATCTCTCTTAAAATATGGTATTGAACCCACCCCTCCACACAGATGTGGACTGATGAATGCAGCATTCAGGGCTCCCTGGACTTCTGGTAACACAGCTTGAAAGCATTAACTCTGTGAATAGCCAATTTTGAATCCTGATTCAAAACTGAACTCACATTTCCCTAAGAAAACATTTCTGTATGAATGGCGATGAAACCTGGACTTTGCAACCCCCTTCCCATCAGCACACACATGTAAACACACATTTGCAAATGTACATACAAGCATACCACTTGGTACTTAAAAAGAGTGTTGCATTTGAAAAACCCAAATAGGAGGGTCCTCATTAATGCCTATTTAATTTCATCCTTTTAGTTTCAGTCTTATGTTCAGGTATTTAAAAAAAATATAACGTTTCCTATATCCTAGTGTCTGTATGGAGTTAGAATTCAGTGGATGTTCACTGATTAAATTAATCCTGAATCTGTCAGTCAACACTAGATATATTGTCTATTTATGTGTCATCTACAAATCCAATAAGGTGCTTTCTTCATAAGAGAAACCGGAAGGCAAAAAGAAGCTGTCTTTACATTACTAGGCAGGTGTCTCCTTTGGGATGGACAATGTAGTTCCTTGGATGGTAAGAAAACACTAAGATACGAACCAGAAACTGAGGTACAGAATGTGAACAGGACAGATGAAGGGGAAGAAGACTCCTGGGCTCCTGGAATGAGGATTTAATGTTCACAACATTAGAAAAATATGGCTTTTCTCAATATCTATCCCAGGGTCTTCTGTCTTTTAGATGTGTTATGACATTTTTATTACCAAACTCTGAATTGGGGGGGGAAATCTCTTTCAAGCTCAGTTTAGGAACACTTTTTAAAATGATCTTTTCAGCTTATATTTTCTATAAAGTTTGAGTTAAAGAGACATGCAACTGTCTCTTGTCCATGAGGTATAAAAAGAAATCCCGAATGCCCTTGACAAATGCCCGAGGTACTGGCAGGACACATTGATCTGTTTGTTTCAGGAATCAGAAATGGCCTGTATTTTTTCATTGTGAATTTGGGAATTCACTGAGATTGAAATGATCTTCTGACTTGAACACAATTTGGTAATTAATGTCCCTTTTCCCAAGAATGAAGAAAAATAAGCTCAATTTTGCTTTCCCTTCTTGCAGAATGTGGAGCTAATCACAGAAGGAAAAGGAACCTACTGTGTCTTGTCCCTTTGTTGACTGTGGCGCAGGGTGGTGAACCCTGGAACTGAAACCTTATATAGAAAAAGTGTTTCACTCTCAGAAATCTAGAATCAGGGTGGAAAGTCTCAGAAACATCTGCTGCATAGTGTTAACATTGAAAGAATGGAGTCACCTATGAAAGGCCTGGTAGACTCAAAGAGGAAATTTGTTTTGTAATTTTCTGAAATTTTTCTAGAGGGACTACAGGGAGGGAGTCTTAGCTAATTATTTTCCAGAAACTCATGTAAGTGACAGATGAACATCAGAAGGTAATTGTGCCAACACTGATGTGGGAGGTTCTTTTCCTGACTCTAAAGTCACATCAAACCACGCCAAGTGCCGAGGATAAGCAGAGCCAGACAAGGAGGCTTAGAGTTAACTAAGCCCCCAAAGTCAGGTGAGCCAGGTGCTTCAGGCGTGAGGAGAGCTTCTCCAAGCAACCACCTCTGAGTTTCCTGTTAAAGTGCAGGTGACTGCCAACAGGAAGGGCAATACACTGTCCCCATCACTGAGTAGCCATGGCAGCGACTGACTTGAATTTCAGCTATTCAGGAAGATATCCTCTTGTGACTGTTGGATCAAGGCCCCTGCAGTAGAGCTTCATCACTGGACCCCACACTCCTTGGGATTTTCCACTTCTTCTCTTTCAAAGTCTGGCTTCAAACTCTTTTTTTGCTCAATTTCCACCTGCCGAGAATAGAAGTTGGAGAGAAATATCAAAAAGAAGAAAAAACATCCCACTAAGAAAATAAATCAACTGAGAACACTAGCCTTTTGAGAGTCCTTGTAATATTGCTAATGTTTGGGGCTTTAGCCACACTGGAGCTACTAGCCCTGTGTGTATCATGACTTTCTGTCTTTGCAAATGTCCTTGGTTTGATTTGGAATTTCCTTTCCCTCATTGTCCACCTGGAAAATTCTCATTCCATGCTGTGGAGAGTTGCTCAAAGGTCACTTCTTCTGTGAAGCTATTCTTGACTCATTAGTAGAGTTAGGTGCTTCCCTTGTGAATATTCCCACCGTATCTTGGACACCTGCCCAGCTCCAATGCACCCTAAGCTTAGGACAGGGCAAGTCCTCATTTACTCCTGCAAACCAGCAGTGGAGGTGTAGCACAGGTAATCACAAAGGTTTACCAAATGAATTCCTTGGTAACTTTATACCTCTCCATTACTTTTCTTTTTTAATAGTCTCCAAACTAATAAGTATTGGAGTATTTATTTATAGTTCTCCCTTTATCTACTGCAAAAATAGTGTAGCTGCTATTAAAGGGTTAATAAATTAATCTTGGCTTGAAAATGACAAACTTCAACTGATGCCTTTGATAAGTCAGGCAGGGAATCCTCTGAGCTCAGGAATTTCATAACAAGGCAGTTCCTCTCAATACCACTTTGACAGAATAGATGACAAGGTTCATCAGGTTGGGGAAAGAAACTGGTTTTTTTTTTTAGGCCACAAGATGGAGTATTTGTTCTTGTTAGTTGAATGTTTTAGCTCACACAACTGAGGAAGCGTTTAGAGGAGGGATAAATCATCACATAACTCTAAGAATATTATCATGAATGAAAAATTATTGAACCACTTGTAAAATCTTCTTTGATCACCTCCCTTTTCCATCTTTGGCATTACTTTCCTCCTGTTGAATTTCTAGCCCTTCAGAACATAATCACTGTTTATGTCAGGACACCTAGCTTGGTTTCCTTCTTTCTCAGCCCTGATCCCATTGCAACTATAAAAGCTGGCCTATTTTTTGAGATTATGTCCTAACTTCACCCAGATCCATGCCATCGACTCTTATCAATGACATAAATGCTTCAAGTTAGCACTGGAGTGGCCACGGCAGGTACTGACTTGAACTTCAGCTATTCAGAAAAACATCCTCCCACGTCCCTTGGATCAAGAGCCCTGCAATAGGGCTTTGTCACTGGAGACCACACTCCTTGGGATTCCAAGTTCACTACTCACAACACAAATTACATTATGAATGATGAATAATATCCCTTTACCCATTGTTCTTTTTTGTGGTTTTTCATGATGACTGAAAAATTATTCTCTTTTATCAGCCTCTTTTTCCCCTGCCACTTTGTCTTGCTCACTAAAGATTATTCATTAAAGGTCAGAGTAGACTCATCCACAGCTCTGTATGGAGAAGCTCTTCTAGGACACTTTGAATGAGAAGGGAGAGGGAACAGGTGCCAACAAATAGACTTGGAAGCATTAGCCAGCTGCCCCCTGAGGTACCTTGTAGCTGTAGTGTGCTGAATAATTAACCCATTTCCTGACGTCAGTCTTGTCTTCCACAGAGATGGATCTCACAGCAGCTTTGGAGGCAGAAGTTGTGGGCATGCTGAACTCAACATTCACATGACTGGCAAATCTGGAAGGCACTTCCCGGTCAGAGCCAAGTTCAAGGTGGCAGAAGAAACAGTGTGGGTGGCCAGAAGCTATGAAAGAGAGACAAAAGAATCTAGGGAGCAGGTTCTTTGGGGAGGACATAGAAAGAGAATACAGAGGAGCGACTGAAGAGTAAGGGAGGACTGGCAGTCTGCCAGAGGGGCCAGTGCTGAGCAGAGGACTTGCCTCAGCAGAAATCACACTGCATGAGTCCCAGACTCTGTGATAGGACATTAGCTGATGACAGCAGCCTGGAACCCCAGCAGCCAAACCCATCGCCTGAGAAATAGGTTATTCTACCTGCTCAGGTCAGTGTACGGGTTGTAGAGTGGCAAGAGGGAGCCAAAGGGAACAGCACTAACATCTCCTAAAATACCAGTGACAGCCACCTGGAGAAAGAGCATGATTTCCTTCAAAAGGCAAACTGAATTTTCTTAATAGCATTTCATAGTTTAAAAAAAATGTGGGGCTGGCCTGGTGGTGCAGGGGTTAAAGAGCTCTATCAAACTATCACCAGCCACTGTGGCACGAGTTTGATCCTCGGCAAGGGAAATGACCCACATGGCATAGCAGACCTCTACTGTCTCGCCTGCTTCTCCCCTCAGCAGTGTATTTCAGTAGATCCAACTGTCTTGCTCCCCAGTCTATTTCTGGTGAATCCTCTCACCCCTGCACCTATGGCCTACACCCCAGCTCTTGTATGCATAAATAAATAAAAATAAGTCTTTAAAAAATGCTTTCTGGCATTTTTTGTTCATGTGAGGGAATGGCATTTGTAAATGACAATGCTCTATAGACAGCACACAGGTGTCAGGGAAGCCTATAGTACCTGAGAGAACACAGACAGCCACTCCGGACAGCTGGGTTTGACCCCAGTTCTCCTGGTGAGTAGCAGAGAGCCAGCATTCAGTCCTGTGTTCTCTCCAGGCCACTTCTGTAAAGTTGTGCTGGGGGTGGGGAACAGTAGGAAAGGGTAGATTGTCCCTTGATTCTGTAAATCTACGGCAAGTTCAACTGTACTTGTCTGGCAAAGTTAAGGTTTAGTTTGCATTTAGGAATTGTTATTAGATATCTGAGCGAAAAGGGGTAGAGGTTAGTTCTGTGTCCGCGGCCACTGAGGGCTACTTTGTCATTCTCCAGACGCGGTGGGGAGAGTTTGCTGTGCACCCTGCAGGTGCTGTGCTAGATGCTCTAAGCAGATTCTCTCACTGTATCTTCATTCCATTCCCTTGAGGTCCCAATTATTATATTCCATAGATGAGGAAACAAAGGCTTTGGAAGTAAAGTGAATGGACCAAAGTCACAGCTAGAAAGTGGCAGAGATAAGGATTAAACCCAGCAGCCTATCTCTTAACCTCTTAACCTCTTTGTCTGAGCCATAACCTCATAGTCCCCAAACCTCGAGACTGGGTTTGTAGGGTGACAGGGCTGAGAGGAAGTGAATTCAAAGAACCTCAGTGCAGCAACCAGCTGTGGATAAACAGTGTGAAATGGCTTTGACTTCATTATGTAACAAGATCAGCCCTCAGTTATCTGAGTTTTCCCAAATAAACTATTCCATTTTTCTTTATTGGTCTGGGCAGGACTATTTAATCTCAGAGAATGAGAACATACACACCCACTCTCTAAGGAAAACATTGGAATGAAGTATGTGTTTTGCTCTGTTTCACAAATGCAACATATTTCAAAGGTTATTTCTAAAGAGTAATCTTTTGGGAAATTAAAATTAAAAATTTGCACTGATTTTGGGGCAGGCATTTAAATAAGATGCAAATAATTGTAAAATTACACTTTTTAAAAAATCCATTTGATATTTTTCAACAATTTTGTACCATGGATATAATTACAGGAACACCTTGAAGATGCTGTTAGGTTTGGTTCCAGATTATATTTACACTATACATTATTTAAAAAAAATTAAAAACAAAGTGAGTACATACTGTTGAAAAATGGCACTATAGACTTGTCTGAATCAGGGTTACCACCAACATTTATTTTATATTTTTTTAAGAGGCATGTTTTTATTTATTTATTTATTTGTTTGTTTGTTTGTTTATACATGCACTGGGTACAGTCAGAAGCACGGGAGGGTGAGAGAATTCACCAGAGCCAGAGCGGGGAGCAGAGCAGGCAGAAGGACCGAAGTACACTGCTGAGGGGAGCAGCGGGCGGCAGGAGAGGTCTGCGCGCCATGTGGGACCCTCCTCCGGTGGCCGGGGAGCAGCTGGGGGTCGAACCAGCACCGCAGAGGCCGCGGGCAGCTTCTCAAGCCAGCGCTCAACCGCTGCACCACCGGGGAGGCCCTACCACCAACATTTAATTTGTAAAAAGAACAGTATCTACTAAGCACAAAAGAAGGAGCTAGGCCTGTATATAGCTATCATTTAATAAATATTTATTATAGACCGGAGACTGTGCCAAACACTAAAAAGCATCATCCAATTTCATTCTTAGTAGTTAGGTATTAATAACTTTTATAGATGAAGAAAATGAAATTTCTCTGAGAGGTTTATGTAAATCGCCTATAATCATACAACCATTAAATTGTAGAACTGGGGGGGCCTCCCCGGTGGCGCAGCGGTTGAGCGCTGGGTTGCGAAGCTGCCCGCAGCCTCTGCAGCGCTGGTTCCATCCCCGGCTGCTCCCCGGCCACCGGAGGAGGGTCCCACATGGCGCGCAGACCTCTCCTGCCGCCCGCTGCTCCCCTCAGCAGTGTACTTCGGTCCTTCTGCCTGTTCTGCTCCCCGCTCTGGCTCTGGTGAGTTCTCTCGCCCTCCCGCGCTTCTGACTGTGCCCAGTGCATGTATAAACGAAACAAACGAACAAACAAACGAATAGATAAATAAAACATGCCTCTATAAAAGAAAGAAAAAAAAGGAAAAAAAAAAATTGTAGAACTGGGAATAAAATTTAGATCTGACTGACTTCAAATTATAACCTCAAATCCTGATATACTGCTATCATTTAGATGACTACTAAGTACATAGAGGAGTCTCAATTTAATTCAACAGCAACTTGAACAATAGTTTTATCTAATTACCCTTATTTAAACATTGTTGGAAAATTGAAAAAGAATTACTTCCAGCAAAAAGGGCCCCACCAATAATGTATTCTTACCCCATCAAAGTGTATTCACAACAAACCATGAAAACAACATTTACTTGATTCTGAGCATATACTAATGATATACAGGGATGCTGGACAGGTAAGGAAGCATAATTTTGAAAGTTAGTATAGTTTTTTTCATGGTAATGAAATAATCAGCCCATGCACTGTTATTTTTCTTGATCAAACTGAGAAAATTAAAAATTAACATTCACATTTCTATTTTCCATAAAAGGCAAATCATTTTGCAATTACCTCGTCATTTTCTTTACCTCATCTAATAAAAATTGGAATTCTAGCAAAGAAAGCTAACTCTACAGAACAGAATGTTTTATTTTCTGGCAGGTGATTTGGGAAAATAGCAGCACTTGTTCTGGTGCCTTCTAGGGTTAAGAAAAGCTCTAGGGATTAGGGTGGGAGGGCGCTTGGAGAACAGACAGGGCAGCTAATAGCATAGGTTGTTTGGGTGGGGGCCATGTCGGAATCCTGGCGCAGCTTGTTGGTGTCTCTTGGTGGCTGGATCTGGGACAAGCCTGTGGGAGTTACTCTATTGGGGTGCCAGCAAAGCCCTGAGTACTGACCTGCTAGTACCAGGTCCCATGTAGTCTGACCAGCCCCTGGATAGGGGTGCCGGGGCCACTGCAAGGTGAGAGTAGCCACACAGAGGTTCAGGCTTCCTTCATTAAAAATGGAAGTGGACCTCCCTGGTGGTGCAGGCGTTTCAGCGCAGCGCTGTGAAGCTGTCCGCAGCCTCTGCAATGCTGCTTTGATCCCCGCCAGCCTCAGAGCTACCCACATGGCAAGCAGACCTCTCCGTCTCTCCTGCTGCTCCCCTCAGCAGTGTATTTCGTCAGTCTGCCTGTTCTGTTCCCTGCTCTGTCTCTCGTGAATCCTCTCACCCTCCCTCTCATCTGGCCAGTACCCCGGTTCTTGTATAAATTAAAAAAAAATAAACATAAAAATAAAAACGGAAGTGTGAGGATTATGAAAAGTAACCTGTAAAAGGCACCTTCCCAGAGCTGTCTGAAGACTAAGGCAGAAGAGCACAGAAAAGGGTTAATTACCACTGTCAATTCTACAGTTTCCATATGGAGCACCAGATGGGGAGGACAGGGGCTGAGCAATGAATTCCAGCAGTGGTAGAATCTGCTGACTGGAAATCAGATCCTGTACATCTCAAGGTTCTGGAAAGGGTGTGATCAATTTTCTGAACTGATATGGAAATATCCTATTGACCAGTGTGAGTAATAAGCCCCCTTTTTGGAGTTTTACCACTAAAAATATATGACAGCAAAAGCAGTGATGGGGGAAGGAAGGAGTTTAAGTGTGAAACATTCCCAAATATCTTTATTCTGTCCTGTATTTCAAACATCTTTCATAAACTAGGGTCCAGTAATCTGGAAACAAATGCATGGCATATAATTTGCATTTACTTTGCCTTGAGCCTACTGAACACTACCCCTGGAGAAGCATTAAGGAAAGTGTTTGCTCGCGACCTGCTAATCCCCCTCTGTCCTACACCTATTCCCCCTTTCTTCAATCTGTTTTTTTCTTTCCCTTGGGATATTCCTTCCCCAGCATTGCATATCATCTATGAGGTCAAGATGGTCAACATACATTGTTCTACCCTCCACTTTGGGGCCAAAAGGCACGAGAACAGAAAACGACTGGTGATATGTTGTCCCAATAGTTGCAGCCTAAGGAAACAGCCACAGTTCCTGATGTCAAGATCTATTCATTTTTTTAAGATTTAATTTTTTTAATTTATGCATACGAGAACTGGGGTGTAGGCCAGAGGTATAGGAAGTGAGAGGATTCAACAGAGACAGAGTGGGGAGCAGAACAGAAGGATCTACTGAAATACACTGCTGAGAGGAGCAGCGGGTGAGACAGGTAAGGTCTGCTGCACCATGTGGGTCAGCTCCTTGGCCAGGGATCAAACTTGTACTGCAGTGGCTGCTGATAGCTTGACAGTGCTGACATTAACCCCTGCGCCACCAGGGAAGCCCCCAAGATCTATTCTTTCCGAAGCCTGCCTATTCCAACTTTCCTTGAGATCTCTCTGCTACCTATAGCCTCCTGACAATTTCTTACTTTCCTCCTTTTTAATTTTCATTTTTGTTTAAAGTAGTCAGTCAGTCTTCGATGCTTATAACAACCACCACCTCCTATATTTCTTTTAAATATTTGAGCTAAAGAAGTATGAAACATGCGCTATTTGTGTACATACTGAGAAAATTACAAATCTCTGTTCTCATAGTGGAAATTATTTCAACTTTGTGTCTATCTAGTGTTACCTACTAAGAGGCAGCTGTGGGCACTGAGAAAAGAATCCTGGATGTGGCTTCGTGACTTCAGACGAGTTATGTCACTTTCTGGTCCTTAATTCCTCATTTGTAGAATGAAGTGGTAAATTATTCCCAAGCCCCCTTCCAGCTTGAAAATCCCAGATGAAAGTATCTAAATACGCACTTACTAAATCAAAGTTAACGCTTCTAATAAACATAAACCAGAGGGCTTATCTTTTCCTATGTCAACACTCCAGCCAGTTAAACAGTAATTTTGTCCCTACCACTTCCCTTCTCTTCCCAAGGGCTTCTGGGTCAGAGGAAAGCTCTCATGGACCCTGTGGCTGAGGTGGGGATCACAGAGCTACCCCCAGGAGAACAGAGAGCTGATGTTAGGGGAAATGTACAAGCAAGAACAAAGAGGAAGACTTTGTTTTTAAAATTCTGTGGGTTAGTAAAAAGGGGTGGCAAGTCCAGCCTCAAACAAGAGGTTCAATTGTCTCCTTGGTGAGCACCGCTACACCCAGTGTCTGACACAGTGTCCTGGTGTGTCCTGCTGCCTGGCATCCGGGGAGTGGAGCACGGGGGAGTGGAGCAGATGGCATTTCTCTTGCCATCACATCATATTGCACTTAGGGTGCGCGAACACAGCCGCTCCACACTCAAACAGGGGATGAAGGCCGAATACACTAATAGGATTCCATAACAGAAAGGGAAAAAAGAATAGCTGCTTAAGAGAAAGACTTTTCAACCCAGAATTTTCCCAAATCTTATTCTTTTTGCTCAGCTAGGATACCCACTTTTGTTAATAGATGGGCAAAATTTATTAGAAATAAGAGAAGTAGTTTAAGGATCATGGGTTTGCTACATGCCATTGGGGTGATCCAGACCCACTCTAAGAAATAAGGCTAGTAGGGTCGACCCGATGACTCCCTGGTCCTGTCGTTTCTCTAAGTCTCACTGGACGTGAGGAAAGCTGGTGCCTTCCAGCCTCACTCAAGCACAAAAGTGAGCTGAGAGCTGGTGAGCTGAGAGCTGGCCAGCCAGGGCTGGTAAGCATTCTTTCTTTGTTTGAGTTCAACATTCCTTCCTTGATTTTTTTGTCTGGTAGAATCTCAGTCCCTTTGGACCTTCATGCCCTGGCTGGATTTCCAATGTGATCAGAGCCCATGACTCTTCTCACTCCCCAAATCCCAGCTCTGGGCCCGATATGTAATGGCTGACAGGCCTCACACAGAGTGGCTGGAACCATAAATCTAACTCCTCACCTGTATTGTACATTGGCTTGGCCATAAACGGACCCTTTTACCTACAGCCAGACCACCATTAAGAAGCTATCTCTCCTGAACCTTCTAGGATCTGGAAATAGAGAGCTTCCAGTGCCACAGATTATACCTTAACCAATCAGCCAAGACTATAAATTCTTAATCTGCTTAGCGGCTTAGCTGAGAAGAGTAATGTTTAGTTTTATGGAAGAAGTATGACTATAAGGGAGCGAAAAGATGGCACAAACTGGGCCACCCATACCCCTTACTTTGCTCAGATAGTTTGACTTTTCTGGCCCCCTTCCTCACCCTCCAGCACTATTCCTGTCACACAACAAAACCCAGCGCTTCACAGGGAAAGAGAGTGTGGCACTTTGGTCCCCTTCTTGCTTTCGCAACTGTGGGAGACCTCCACCTACCTGAGTTTTTGTCAGGCAGTCGGTTTATCCTCCACACAATGGAGTTAAAGGCATGTTCATATTTGGCAGTTCCCAGAGTTACTCTCATGACAGGCTCAGAGCCTGACACACTAGTTGAGCCAAAACTTGCCCCACGGTTCACTTTGGCTTTCAGAGACTTCTCCCCCAGCATGCTTTCCCTGCGGAAGTTTTTCACCCACTCACTGGGCACAGGGTAACGGACCATCACATTCTCACAGGGCACCTGAGTAAGAGGGTCACGGTTAGAGGAGAAGCCGGAAGACATCCGAAGCCAGCTCTGCACTTCCACCTCCGCCCCGTTGATGCTCGCCGCCGTCCTGAGTGTGAAAGGCAAGGTCTTCTCTGCAAACACTGTCCTGAACCGCATGAGCTCAAACCGGCACGCGTCCAAAGGGTTGAAAAGAATAACCCTCGAGGTGTTGAATACGTCCTCATCCACGCAGCCATGGAAACGGCACTCATGGAGCTTGATCCACTTGCTGGTGGTGGTAGGCATGATGTCTTGCCGGGAGACGATTTCGTTGCCCTTGACCAGGACGTCATTGAGACCCAAGCGGCACTCTGCAAGCCCAGAGAGGAAACTCAGGATGTGTATCCGTGTCAAGACATGGTGCTGGAGAATTTGGTTTTCTCCTTTGCTCACGATGCCTGAGAATTCATCTTTGACATCCACTGTGAGCTCCTCTTCAATGTAATTCAAGCCAACTGTGGTCAAGTCCATTGACAACACTGGTAGATTCATGAGGCGGTTCTGAACTGCACGGATGAAGCTCAAGAAATCATCATAGTTGGTAGTGCCCAGCTTAATCACCTGTTCCCTCTCCGCCATGTGGGCCACTGCAGGTTTGGGCTGGTATTTCTTCTTCTCCTTATAGGTGACACGGTCTATCCGCAGGCTGTGGATCCTGCCATTCTCATCATAGTTTTGGAGCCTGGGTTCTGAAATCTCATGGCAGATCTCCAGCTTGAACTCACGAAAAGGTTTTTCTAGGCCCTGTTCATAATACAGCTGCAGGTAACCAGTGTCTGTCAGTTTGATGTAGATGGGTCCCCAGTGCCTGGAGGACATGATATTTTTCTTTTCAGGGATCCTCAGCATCATTGGCCACCCATCCCTGGGCTGGGACGGTGCTGAGCCAGGCACGTGGTCATCTAGTTCAATCCAGGCGACTGCGTCATCATCAGGTAGTGCTGTGTTACCTAAATGGTCAGGATCATCAATTTGGAGTTGTTTGAGCTTCTCAACAGCATCAGAGTGTGACTGGCTTTTGCTTGAATCATCAAAACTGATGGCATCCTGGTAGACGACAATGAGGGAATCTCTTTGGTTCTTGCCTGCGGTGCTCGAAATGGAACTGTTTTGGGACCGTCTCTCCTGCTCCTCAAAGAAATCACTGAAAGGGTTGATCGGCGAGGGTTGTACATCCTGTAGAGTCTCATTCAAGAAAGGATTGGTTGCCCTCCAAGGTGGAGGCTTGGTTATGGAAGGTGGGTGATTTAAGGAGGAAATGTCCAGCTTCTGAACTTTGGAGAAGTTCATCAAAGTGCTTTTGGGACGTTCCCTCTTCTTAAATGACCCCACTGAGTTATAAGCTACATCTTGGATCACAGATCCAACAGGCGGTGTACTTGGCTTCAGAGGAGAGGTGGCTGGTGGCAAAGGGCAGCTGATTTCATTGTCATCAAAAGTGACCCAGCTGGGGAAACGCGCAGAGGTCACTGGAGTGGCAGGGTGTCCATTCAAGGTGGGACTGCTGGCTTGCCAGTGGATGGCCTCCATCTCTACCTCTTCATCTTCCTGGAGTGAAGAAGAATTGTCTAAAAAGAAAAGGAGAACACATGAGGGGCAGCTCTTCAGGGTCTCTAGACTTATGGGAAAGTGAAGTAAGGGAATGAGGGATGACTAGAATTTTATCTAGAATCCAGTGCATTCCAAAGTAGCTCATTACTTATCAAGCATTTAGTATCAGCACGGAGCTCACCATAGGGGCTATACATTAAAGGCAGTAGGAATACAAACGGGTCTCTCAATTTTGAAGTACTGGTAAGATCAACTTATTTAACTCTTACACATTCTCCCTTTATTTTATAGAAGTTTCCAAAATAAATATTTACTCTGCTCTAAAGTATATATTCTTAGTATTTACACATTGAAATCACCTCCTAGATAAAATAATATAAAACTCTGATAATATGACCACAAATAACAGGGATTTTAGCCCAAATGTTCAATAAATATTTAAGACAAAATGTTAACATCCTTAGTGTGAATTAAGTTCACACAAGTCAAAAAAATATAAAAATCCTGGTAGGAATACAAGCAAAGGACATATATAGACAACTCAGAAAAGATAATTAAAAATATCTAATAAGCATGTAAAAAATGTTCAGTATCTTTAGCAATAAGAAAAGTAAGATGAAACTAAAAAAATCAGTGAAGATTCTTAAAGTTTTTATTATCAAATGAGGGTAAAGAATCTGTGAACAATAAATAGACACTGGGTCTGCAAATTGTTATAAACTCTTTGCAAAGTGGTTTGGCAACTTATATTAAGAGACTTACAAATATTCATAAGCGACTTAGTAATTCTACCCAAAGGAAATAAATCAAAATTGTGAAAAAAGTTTTGGATGAATGCTAAACTGAGACACAGAGTCATTAGTATTTAGTAACATGAGAAAATGTTCATTATATAATTTCCTCTAAAATAATTTTCCATCTTGTGGTTTCTTCATTTAACGAAGAAGAAAAAGGTTATGACAAATAAATTTCACCCTTGCAGGGCCTTTAAGGAAGGAGACTTGAGCCTTGATGAGGAAAAGATACAAAACTTTTTGGTAACACGTGGACCCTGTGTGTCCTAAGGGGTTCGTGGGAAGTGTGGTGGTGGTGGGGGGGGGGTGAAATAAAGTCTCTAGTAAGATGGAGTGCATTCTGATGAAGAAATGGCAAATCTGTCTGGCATATAGTAAATATTCAGTAAAGGTCTGTTGATTGTATGATTGGGAAAAGAAACGTTACTTGAAAACTTTGTTCTCTTCTCCCTGTTTCTGGAAGAATATATATGGTGGGGTGAGGGAGTAGGGGGGTTCTCTACCATCATTCCACCCACTCTTTCTACTGCCAGTAATTTGGAATCAGAGGAAAATAAGTACTTAAATAATTGAGTCAAATTGTTGTTTTCTGGCAACCCCGCCAAACCTTCATGAACGTCCAGCCGCTTCAAATCAACAATGCCACACGTAATTACTAAGGTAATGGCACGTGGGTGGGATGTCTGGCTTGTTACCCACCTTTCCAAGAATATGTATTGAAATAACAATTTCCTCTACTGGAGATATCAGCTGGAAAATACAGGTTCACACAGGAGCACGGATACATACATATACATACATAACCACATTCACCCTAGGAACAGAATGAGCAAAAATGTATTTCTGTATGTACAGAACCTCTAAAGGATTTCAAAGCATTTTAAAGATAAAGATTTTTAAAGAGACTCTCCTTCAAGTTAATCATTAATCGATTTCTATATATGTATAAGAAATTTATTTTCTGGAAAATGAAGGCAAAAGGGTCAAGAACAATCTAGGTTTATGAGGTTTATATTTTATCTGCTGTTGCTACAACTGTTACTGCTGCTACTATTGTAAAGAAGGTCATAGGGAACATGAGGGCCCCCAGTAATATATAATTAGTGCATAGCAACTGATCCTGCCTAGAGAACTGGAAAAGGGGTGCATCTTAAATCTCACCAATTTCCAAGAAGGGGCTCTATGGGGCTTTTGTTAGGTGTTTCACCCAGGAATTCCTGCATCGGCCCACTCCTATAGTTAGGGGAAGCCTTATTGCCTTGGGCTTATTACCACTCCCCAGTTTCAAATAGGCTGAAGTCCTTTTCCTTTGGAGGGCAGCTTTCTGCCAAAACTATTTATACTTCCCTGCCAAAGGATTCCCTTCTACTGGAAACCATGCCCTAAAATAGCATTTCTCATATTCTCCCCCAAAAAGGGGGAAAAATAGGCCTTTGTCTCTACTAAACAGTTTTCTTACAATAAATTCCTTTTAAAACCAAGTTATTTAAAATCTAGACAGTTCAAAACTAGACAGTTTTAAAGCATTAGGCTTATAATTTGAAGGAAGTGTCTTTAAATCTAGAGGAACAATTTTTAATTAAATGAATTTTTAGAAATTCTACAATCTCTGTGGCAGCTATTAAAAAGTATTAAAGGGCCTCCCTGGTGGCCCGAGGGGTTAAGCACCACACTGTGAAGCAATCCGCAGCCTCTGCAGCACCAGTTCGATCTCCAGCCAGCCAGGAGCAACCCACATGGTGCAGCAGACCTCTCCTGTCTCATCCACTGCCCCTCTCAGCAGTGTTTTTCAGTCAGTCTGCCTGTTCTGTTCCCCACTCTGTCTCTGGTGAATCCTCTCACCCTCTCACCTCTCACCCATGCCCATATCTCTGGTCTGTACCCCAGCTCTTGTATGCATAAATAAATAAATCTTTTTTTTTTAAAGTATTAAAACACTTAGTTACAAAATTCTCTCTCCTGCAGCAGGTTCATTGTCTATGATTACAATCTTTTTTAAAATCCATGTTCTGGCAAATTGTAGTGTACAGGTTAAATTTTGGAACAATTATCTGTTTACTACATTTATAAAGAAATAATACTTTACTGAGACAATTTTACAGATGACAAGCAGAAGTGGTCCAGAGTTGACATGCAAATAAAGCATTTCTTAAGGTGAACCCAAGGACAGCCCAATACCATTTTTAAAAGATTGTCACTTATTAACTTGGATATCCCTATGGGTGAGCTCTTAATTTTGCTTCATTTATTATTTACTGAAAGACATCTGCAGTTGTTTTTATGAGCATTAAGCCATGTATTTGAGACTTTCACATATAAAAAAAAGCTATCTGTAAAATTTCTGGAAAAAATATTTGCATATATATGGCAAAAGCTTAATATCCTTAATACATAATGGCATTGTATCCTTAATAAAAATGGATACACTTTCACATACAAAAAATAGGATAAGATTAATGAAGAAATATGAATGTCTAATGACTATTTAGAAAAAAGTTTAACATTATAAAACAATATATATGATTCTCCCAGTGTCAGAGAGGCAAAGATTTAGAAAGAATAATCATTATTTGTGACAAGATGAAACTTGCACTCTGATGAAAGATTAAAAAAATCTTTCTGAAGCACACTTTGAAAACTGGTATAAAGTCTTCAAAAAAGTGATCTAAGAATCTCATTTACAGGGGAATTTATTCTAAGGAAAAAACAGACAGACATGCTACGAAGTATATAGTGGTGTATTTATCATAGCAAATTTGTATGAGAAAAAATGGAAACAATCTAACTGTCTAGTAATGGGAAATTGGCTATACCAATTTTTTATGTCTTAATGGAGTCACACATTGTCATGCTAGTCTTGCATTTTTATTCACAAGGATGCTGGTCATGATGTATGTGTTGAGTGAATAATAACCACAGCCTATAATTTGAGCCAGACTACCTATATCCGCAGCTTATTAGCTGGGTGACATCAGGCAAGTAGTTTAATTTCTCTGTGTCTCAGTTTTCCCATCTATGAAATAAGAAAAAATATTAAATCCAACATGACAGGGTTGTTGGGAAAATGTAATAGAGATGTTAATGTCATTGTGCCTGGCAAATAATAAAACATGCAGCGATGGCAGCTACTGTTACCGCCACTACCAGAATTATGCATTTTCATGTTGTAAAGTAGATATGTATTAAAAAAAGTTGGAAAATAATATTTCATAAAGTTTTATGTGAAAACAGATATCTTAAAATTGATTTAAAATATTTTAAGGTGCAACCTGTACCCCTATGTTTATTGCAGCACTATTTATAATAGGTAAAACCTGGAAACAACCCAAATGCCCAAAAATAGATGACTGGCTCAAGAAGATGTGGTATATATACACAAAGGAATATTATTCAGGAATCAAAAAAGATAAACTCATGCCAATCGCAGCAACGTGGATGGAGCTAGAAGGAATTATGCCAGTGAAATAAGTCAGAAGGAAAAAGAAAAATATTGGATGGTTTCACTTATCACAGGAATATAGGGAAGCCAACTAAGACAACACTGTAAAAAAAAAAAAAAAAAACAGTACAAAACACAACAAAGCAAAAACAGAAAATTATAACCCAGAGACATGCTGCAGGGGAGGAGGAGGGAGAGGGATCAGAGGGAGGGAGGGAGGAGCACATGGGACTGAGGTGATGGTGCACGGGTGCCTTGGGGAAGGAAACTCTATGGGGACTACACCTAAGTGGGGGGGGGGAGCAAATATTGTTTAAAAATGAACAATGATGTAAAAAATTAAAAAAAAAACAATAATGAAAAAAAGAAAAAAAAAGAAAGTCCCGGGGCGGTGGGGAATATTTTAAGGTGCAAACACAGGTTTACTCTTCCTACTAATTAACTTACAGGAAGAAAACAACTGCTTAGCTGTGCTCCATGCGGATAAGACAGCTGCTAGATCTTTTCTGAGATGCTCAGGATGGGCACTAAGCCGCCAATAGTGGAAACAACGAGGAGGAAAGGCCTGCAAATCTTTGCAGTAAGAAACAGGCATAAACCAATTATCTTTGGACAAAGTTAACAACCATCTTTAATTCCATTTTACTGACTTATTAAAACAAAATCCAAACCAAAAAAAAAAACAAAATCTAGCATTATTTTATTTTTTATTTTTATTTTTTTTAAGATTTATTTATTCATGCATGCAAGAACTGGGGTACAGACCAGAGGTGCGGGTGATGAG